TGTTTGAGATTTCCTTTCTTTGGTAGTTTTATTATCAAACCTTGCTTCCATTTCATAGGTATTCTCTCTTCTTTCCATATCTTATCAATAAGCTGTTGAACTTTGTCTGTTGCAAGTTCAATATCTGCTTTAAGGAGTTTTAAGGAGTATAAAATTAGTTGATAATAAAAAATTGGCAACAGAGTCGCAAATTACAGCGGCTATCTTTTCTGATCGATGCCTGGGCGTTGGAGAGTTTAGTCCGCCATGTTGTTTACAATCGCAAGGCTACTGTTTAGCAATAGGACTATACCATTCGATTCTTAGGGACGGCAATATAGTCAATTTACACATTTCTTTTTTGTTTTGTTTTCAGGAAAAAGTCAATGTTCTTTCCCGTGTAAAGCTGTGATTATGTAACCTTACCCCAATCAAAATAGTTAGGTGAAAATACGAGAAACATATTTACAGCCGGTACATACAAAAAATGTACATGTAGTGGCTGTCATTACAATGGACCCTCGCTAAGTTGCGATTGTCGGGATCCAAGCAAAAACCACGACATATCAATCGTCGCGACTTTCAGAAGGGGCTCTGAAGGGCGGGGGTTCGTGCATTCAAAACATATAAAAAGAACACATACACCCATGGGTTTATTTACAGTGTGTCTTCTTTATTAAAATATATCACGGTTAATAAATACGCAATTTAATTGAAATGTTAGAAACATATTTACAAATTGTATGTTGTACCATCACATGTGTCAGGCAATATTCAAATAATTGATCATGATTATGTTTGCTGTGAACATTGCAGTGATGCGTTGTTTATGTACAATACTACATTGTATGTGGGTGTTTGCTGTTGTTTGCTACTTCGACAGTAACAGCTTCCGAAATATACTTGTTCGTCGGAATAACTATCTTCATTGATAATTTCTCGGGAGAAGTTCTGTATTTCATCAAACAGGAAATTGCGAATGTTCATTTGAATTATATTCTGTCGGGTTCATTTCCGGGACCAAGACAACTTGTTGTAGAAATCCGAATTCAAGTAGGGGATAGACTGCAATGTTCAATAAACACACTAGCAAACATATACAAAGTTGCATATGCCAAGCTTATTTCGTATTTTTCATGATGCCAATCGAGTAGACGAACATGACACTTTAGACCACTGAAACAAAGCACATCGGTTCACGTGTTTACTGCACCTTCAGCTTCTTAATAGTTTCGAGGTACTTATTGCCTTGTCGTCGTACTTTTGCCATAGAGCGGAGATACGTCCTTCGTTTGTGCGGTACGCGGCCCTCTGGTAGTTCGAAATCTTCGACTCTCTCACTAAACGCGATTGTACGGTAGTTAGCCTGGCTTCTTGGTACAGTAGTGGGATCAAAACTTAAAACTGTAATTCGCTGCGGTTAGCCTTTCCATTTATCCATCGACGCCATCCTTCGACATGATTGTTGGTTCTGAAACTTTTTTAAAAATGCACCACGACGCGACTGGAAAAACTCTGCTTTCTATCCAGGTGGTACATGTACGAACATAACGCATCAACTCTGTGAATTCCATCGTTGCATTTTCTTCTAACTCTCTAAACATGGGCTCGATGTGTTCCTGCGGCAGAAATGGTAGCGCCATAATTTTTCTGATAAATCTAAATACTGATCCCTTCCGATTATACGCCAACTGTAAACCTACTTGCTTCACTTTGCGGCCTATTGCCTGGGTCAAATGAAAAACGCATGCCATCCTTGGATTCTTAGTTCAGGGCAATCTGATTAAAATCTGACGTAGTGTACGGGCTTTAATTATTTTGGCTATAAACTTATTTTAATTTTATTTTTTATTACTTTTGTTATTAATGCCCTTTTATCTCATTATTTTACTTTGATTTTGATTTTGTGATTTTTTTTAATTCCGCCCTACCTACATCTGATCCGACGCCTATGTAACGAGATTTCAACGAGACCCACTATCGACGATTTTAGTCAACGAATCACATATCTCCTTCTATAGCGCACATGATGACGTCACCGGGTGGCAAACACACTCAAATAAAATGGCGGATTATACCGACGTTAGCGACCGTGAATAACACGGCTTTTCGGTAAGTTTATCATTGTCACGAAAGTCATTTTCATGTTAATATTGTGACTCGAATGGTTTTAGATCGTTATTCCGCATAGTTATTCTGGGAGTGTTGATTTTGTTTCCACCGGTTCGACCGAACACCAGTGTCTTTTTCCAGTCGCCTGCCCTGGAGACTGGTGATGTTTTGTTGACGATCGGGCCAAAATCGTCTACGGTATTGAAGCTCTAAATATTCATCAAATTGTATCAACATTTTGTACATAATACAATAACTCTTTATTAAAGTAATTGAGCTGATTTGGACTGGAATAAAATATTTTTTATTTGGAACACATCGCAATTGATCAGGAAATATTTGTTTGCTCCAATCACAGGGAGCCCAGGAACTATAATCAACTGTAATACGTAATACGCAGTCTCTATGAGAGGGGGGGGGGGGTATCGGCTGGTATCCAGTGTAAGAAATAGACAAGGGATGAAGGCTCCAGCCAGCTCACATTTTTTAAACTCGAAAAAACAGACGAAAAGAACGAAAAATAAAATATAAAAAAAATACCAGGTTGAAGAATATTAGTTGCTCCTTCGAATTTCGCCAAAGCCTTACCTTATTTCACCGTGGGCCGGTGACCGTTATACAATTTAAAATCAGTTTGCATTGTTTACTATAGTTGGTAACAGTGTTCTAATCATTACGATTTACTTATTTTTTTGCTTCCATTCTAGATAATTATGCTCAGTGATGTAAAATTGAAGCGATGACTGAATGAACGAACCTTGGCTGGTGAAGATGTATCTGGAAGTGTACACATTTGTTGGAAGTGAAAAAAATATTCAATGTAATGACAAAAATTGTAAAATGCTGTGGAATTTCTTTTGCAAATAAAAATATACTAGCAATTTTCTATTAATGGTTTATTCAAGTGGGCAAAATATAATGTACAGAAAGATTGTCCGTATACACTGAAAAGTAAGCAACCGACAGCCTGTATAAAAGGGGGGCTGTGATTGGCTGTTACTTATGCGAGATTTGAACGGGACTTACATAGGCGTCGGATCAGATGTTGGTAGGGCGGAATTAAAAAAAATCAATCTCAAAATCAAAGTAAAATAATAAAATAAAAGGGCATCAATAACAAATATAATAAAAAATAAAATTAAAATAAGTTTATATGTAGCCAAAATAATTAAAGCCCGTACACTACATCAGATTTTAATCAGATTGAGTTCAGGGAAAACAGAACGTACTGCACGCCACATCCCTGCTTCGAAATCCATAACGCATGCCTTTGCCTTGAATCCAGGTATTGCGATTCTAATTGCTCTAAATACTGATTCGTAATCTCTTGTTTCTCGGCGGGACATCAAACAATACGCTAACAGAATTTGCTTCAGGTCATTCTCTTAGTCACCTTTGATAAAACCGTGAATAGAAAAAAGCTGGTAAAATGGACGTCTAACGATCCTGAAAGTAGCGTCCATGTACCACGAACGCGCCCTGTGTAGTACATGGAGCTGGGCCGGAGTATAAAAAATTAGGTGTCGCACGCCCTTGATTACTACGTCGTTCTGCAAAAAATCTTCAGGCAGGAATGATTCGGCTAACTCAAAATCTAAATCTCAGGGCTCTTTTGGTTGCGTCTTTTCTCTGGTACGGTTTGCTGCTCTGGTCAAGTTGGCTGGGACAGGTAAACTATATGGTGGGTCTTCGGGATGCGCGGGATTCTTCACCATAATCTCCTCCACGATGTCAGCTAATGAACGAAAAACAGTTTCCTTGGCTATCTTTTTTACTTTTACAATCGTTTTCATTCTTTTGGCCGTACCGGGTTCACCTGCATGGTTGTGGGCATGTAATCCTCTAGTGAAGTTATCGCCCGACTGGGACACCGAAGCACGACACTGTATACGGGAGGTTCACTGGCTACATCTCCATGCTGTAACCGTCCGTCGTATTCTTCGTCGATTTAGAGTGGTAGGAGTATCCGCTACTGTCAGTTAGCATAGTTTTCCCTCGTGTCGATGATCCTTCCACGAGTTCGTATGTAACGCAATGCTCTTCTAACGTGATTTCGTCTGGTAAGTCATCGAGGATTACATCAGGATTCGGTTGCGGGTTTTCGTAGGAGATATCTACATTAAATGAGTCGCGGTCTAAATTCATTGGTTCGTCTCGGGTGTTGTCGGGCGCTGTCTCGTCTTCATGATGATCGTTGTCTTCGCGGTCTAAAATCATTGGTTCGTCTCGAGTGTTGTCGGGTGTAGTCTCATCTTCATGATCAGATGGGAGTACATCTTGATCGTGATCATCATTGTACAGTCGCACATATGGTAATCGTTTGCAATCAGCACAAAACCAGTCTACATCTGCTTCTTGGCGCCTCAGTTGTCTGTAGAATGCTATTATATATTATTTACCATGAATTGTTACCATGATTGATAGCTGCAGTTCTGTAGCTCTGGATTTTGATGGTATCTGTTGTCATTTTCTGTTGCATCGATGCAACAGAAAACGCCAACAACAGACACCAGCGAAATCCAGAGCTACACATGTACAGAACTGCAGGTATACCATGAATATTGTTACCATGAATTCTGTCAATTCCACTACCGGCATCCAATGAAATGTCATCTTGCAACACAAACGACTTTAATTACAACCACAATCCCACTATCCATGGACGTAATAACATGTTAAACAGTCCCTCTATAGACCCCGCTCATGCTCTATCATTGAGGGACTTAGCTGCGGTTCCGTAGCTCTTTGGTGCGACCTACAATCGAATTTCGCCCTCACAATTTCATTTGGACGTCTTTTTTTTAATTTTGTTGTTTTACGTCGAACATAGAGCTACGGGATCTATCACCGTTTAAAAACAGAAATCTGGCAAACGTAAATTAAATCGCTTTTGCTTTCGATTACGATGGTGTGACGTACCTTTATTGTGATTTGATCGCTGGATGAATAACATACAAACTTTTGTTTGCAATTTGTGTTTATAAATAAGCAATAATTTGTGATATTTTCAAACAATTACCGCGGAAACCAAGCAAATTTCGAGAAAACG